GCAGGTTTGTGGGGGGCTGGGGCAGGGACCAGCCCCACCCTTCGCTGCCCCGGCAGCAGTGGGATTGCGTGCTCCCAAGGGTGAAGTGTCCCCTCCCACCCCCCAACTGTGTCTGTGTCTCTGATTCTTCTTGGCCCAGGTTTAATTTTGTTGCGAAGAAGCTGCACAAGCGGCTGCAGCAGCTCGGGGCCAGCCCCCTCCTGCCAGTAGCCTTGGGAGACGACCAGCACGACTTGGGGTAAGCGCACTGCCTGGGGGAGGGGCTGCTGTCAGCATCCCCCTGTGGCTTCGGTCCTCCAGCTACCGCTAGGGCTGTGAGCGCTGCACCCCCCGCTCGGCCTGTAGGGCAAGGCAGCGGGCTCTGATTTCCCAGGGCGGCTCACACCCCTGCAACAGCTCTGCTCCTGCCCCTGAAATCTGACTAGCTGCCCTCCCTGCTAGTCCAGGTCTGGCTCCTCCCCACAGCTCTGCTTATTTACCTGTATTCCCCTGCTGTTCATCCCCTCCCCCTCGCCACACACACCTCAGTCCTTTCCTGACTTTCCAGCCCTGGTCCCCTCAGTCTCTGCTAATGCTCTGCGCACCTGGCCTGCAGCCCACCCCCTCGGTTCTAATCCTGGGTCCCCCCCCAACCTCGCACTGCTGATTTTCCCCATTCCTGACCTGCAGCCCCGCCAACTCGTCCAGTCCTGACGAGCCTGCCCCCTTATCCCCGCCAGCCTTGTGGTTTTGTCACATGTCCAGCAGGGACCGGCAGGCCGAAAGCTGCTACACTGATTTTCACCCATGATCGAAGCCAGTTCACGTCGAAGTCAAATCTCACCCTCATGTTCTAACTGGGTCGGCTGTCCCGTCCAGAGTGCACTGATTACTCAAGTGTGCCCACAGCGCATGGGCAGTTGCCAGGACCTGCTGCAGAATGTGCACCTAACCCACCGCAGAGCTATCGCCAGGCTACCCAGAGCTCCTGGCCCCCGGGAAAGAGCCCCTGGGGTTCCCCCCCAGGTTCATTGCTTCAGGGAGCTCATGGGAGGCCACTGCACTTGGGTCTGAAGAGTCTCCTCTCTGAACTCAGGGCCTGGTTTGAGATTCCTCCCTAGAACGCTGTCACTGTTCCAGTTTGCCCGTGTGACCCCTCCACAGGGACCGGCTGGGCAGCACCTACCTGTCAGGCATCTGTATTGTCACCTCTGCCTACTGCTGCTCCTCCAAGTGGGACTACGCAGAGGGCCCAGCCTGGTGACCAGCCCTCCATGCTGGGAGAAGTGGAACGGATGCTCAGCACCGGCGGGGGCGTCGAAGTTACGTAGCTTCATTGCCACGTGCCGTGCCATGGGTAGTCCCCGTTCAGCTGGGCTGCGGGGGCTGGGAGCTGGCAGCTTGCATCTCTGTGGTGCCCCCTCTGGCTGACGGAAGGAACCACGCTTGCCACACTAGGGCAGCGTTGCAGGAAGAAGGTTTCTGAAGTTTGGGGTTATGGGGACGCAGCAGGGCAGGGTCCCAGCAGTCCCCCAGCCCTGCTGCAGTTTGTATTTACCTCCTGCAGGCCGGATGCAGTGGTTGATCCCTGGCTACTGGACTTGTGGGGAAGGATCCTACCCTTGTACCCTCTGCCTCCTGGCCTTGGCATTATCGGCCCAGATGTCCTGTGAGTACCAAGGGTGGGCGCAGACCGTCTACTGCCTTCCAGCCACTGCTGGCTAGGGGAAAGCTGATTGGTTGCACATGTTGCCTTGAAATACTGCTTTCCCAGGCTGGTCCTTGTGGGCACACAACTCTGCCCTGTATGCTGGGTTGGAAGCGTCCTGCCCCGGTTGCCAGAGCCCCGGACACACCCTGGACGGAGGATCCTGGTTCAACCCGTCCGACACACAGTAGAAAAGGAAGGTGTCAGGCTGTCTGGACTGGCTCAGGGACATGAGTACCAACCGCAGGGCAGACTGTCAAGGAGCAGGGCACACACCCCAAACTGGTTGTGAGTTCTATACAGAGATTTCACCAACCAAATGTCAAGTGTGAACAGCAGCCTTAACACGGCGTCACAGACAGTCCCCTTGGGTACTCCAGTCTGTCTTGCCATCCACGCAAGCCTGCCTTTTTGATAAATGGTCCCTTACACCAAAAATCACAATATTCAGGTTACTCCCAGTCCCAAAGGACCAGTCACTTACCCCAGGGCAATTACACCTTTAGATCCTGCACCAAAGACAACGCATGTAGCCAGTCTTATAATAAATTACAATGCAGCCCCATTTATCTGATCTCATTGGGACCAGGACCGGATCCGATAATTAAAAATTCAGATAATCAGGAGAATGGGCAGGGCTCGGACTGTCAGCCTTGCCGCCCAGGGCTGACAGCCTAAGCCCCACCGCCTAGTTCGGTTAATATGGAGAGCTGGATAATGGAGGCTCAGATAAGTGAGGTTCTATTCTAACTAAAGGCTTATTAACTAAGGAAAAGAAATGAGAGAGTTATTTACAAAGTTAAAGCTGATAAACGTACACACACAAATGAGTTTACACTCTTAGGTTCCAACAGGTAATAGAAGCTGCTGTAATACCCAAACTCTATATGTCCTCTAGGGCTAACCCACGCCAAGCAGTGGGGATCCCTTGCTTATGCTTAGAAATCTTGCCTTCTCCAAGTCCAGTAGCATAGAGACCCAGTTTCTTCTTGTCAGGAATTTTTATTCCCTTGCCCCAGAGTTCAGGCTGATGGGATGGGTCCTTGTGCGTGTCTCCTTTTCATGGGTGTGGGGGGAGAAATCACCAAAGTCTTTGTCCTCTGATGTTTCACGATGTCTCATGTGGGCCATCCTGTGGGCAGGACCTACCACCTTCTGTAGGAAGCCAGCCTTTACATTAACTAACGCTTCTTTCCTGTTTGGTGAGCTACACAGTCACACAGGTTTCCACTGCAAACGCTTAATATAATCTTATACCATGGGGTACAGGTGTGAAGTGAGCTCAATACATGCAGCATGATACAAGCATTCATAAAGTCTAGACAGAAAACCCACGGTTATCAATCTAATACCTGTTTTAACAATACTAACACACGGGTGTTTCCAGCCGTGCATTCGTCAGTGGTCAGTTGGGGTCTGGGGACCTTGGCATGAGCTGGCACCTGCTCTGCCAGTGTCACAGAAGGTCTTTCATGGCGAACCATTTAAAGGGACACAGTCCAGGCTGCGACAGCCCTAAATATGGCATTTGCCTTGCCCCCAACCATCAGGCTTATCGTAGCAGAGCTCCCCTATGAGCAGCTGCAGGTTCTGTGGGCCCCATTCCTGCCCTGGGGACCCTCCCACAGGGAAAGGGGGCTCAGCTTGGGAATCTCCCCTTCTCCGGTACTGCACAGAGGCCTGGCTGGGGATGTGTGTGGGGGAAGGGGGCTCAGGCAGCCTGGGGCTGGTACTGTTCCATGGAACTCTGACCTCTGCCCCAGAAGAGGGGCTATGGGATACTGCGCACTGACCCGCCGGCCAGGCTGCGTTTCTGTCACGGGTCGTGTTCCCAGCCCAGGAGTCTGGCTCTCTGCTGTGGGGACAGTGGGGCACCAGCAGGGGAGTCCCGCTAGCTCCATGGGGTGGGGAGACTCCTCTGGGGCCTTCTGGACGCCCGTCCATTCTCCTTTAGCTGGGGAAGGAAGAGCTCCCTCTGCTGCCCCATGTGAGAAACGCCT